ACCGAAAATCGGAGTCTCTTCCATTTCCACACCCTGAGTAGAAGTACCGTATAAAGGAAGTGTGCCGTGCCTCATTCAGCAAACATGTGCCCGGCACGATATCAAGATTAGCAGGTCATCGCTTCAGTACAACATTGCCGCTGCTAAGCCCAGTATTAGCCAGACTTGTCTGTGCCTGGACTCACCCAAAGCCCTACGGGCTCAGAATTTGAACACAACGCTTGAGCTATGAACTTCAAATGGTATCACTCTGCATAACTTAGTCAAGGTCATGGTGAGGAAGGAAACAGTCGAACTAGTGCGAGAAAGGAATATTAATCGATACAGATATGAAGTAGTTAAGTAATCTTGGATATGAATATTCATCGCACGTGGAATGCCAACTTAGCATATCAAGACATGTCATGTGTAGAATATAGTGCATTTAATAATATAACGTCTTGCGCTGTTGTCCATACTGCACAGTAAAAGTAAACTAAAACAAGCCATTTGGCAAACAATAAAGTCGTTCAGACACATTTGGATACTGCTGTTCTCCCATCAGCCTCTTCGCTCTTATATCTACCAGCCTGCAATGTCGTGCTAAAAATACTGAGCATCATTCCTTTAGAGCCTCTTGCGCCTGTCACCATTGTAATACAAGCGGTGCATTTTGTCGTCGTCACTCAGGCGCCGGCAGCACACTGGATAAAATGCAGTGCAGCTGGCGACGACTGAGTAGCGGTGGAGCTGCTATCTCCGACGTTACGGCCGCCGGCCACTGAGGACGACCCTTTCGCCGCTTGTCTCAGGGCGCGGAGGCTGACGACGGTCGTCTCAGCTTTGTGGCCGCAGCCGGTGCCGAGTTCAGCATAACATCAGAGAACGAGCGCAGGAGAGTCGTAGAACTTCACTCTCCCGGCGCCAACGGTCGACAGGAGCTCCACCAAAGGGCGAGAGTAAAACAAGCATGCCGTCTTTAAGAGGCCGTTACGCGGGCTATATCAACGGCAGGACGGAAGAAAATAGGACGATTAGATAACATAAAGCCACGTTGTAACATCTTCTTTGTAATAATACGGAAACAAATGATTAAGAAAAGTGCGCATTAATCACCGCTGAAATGAGCCCCATCTCTCGGATTATCCCCATCAAAATCGCACCCGGCGGACAACCAGTATCATATCCCCACGACTGAGGAGCATCTCTCCAGACGAGCACAGCCGGTATCTCTGACCGTCTGAGTGAAGCGCTCGACATCAGTAGCTCCGTCGGCACATCATAGTCGGCGGCGACGCTCTCAAATGACACCACCAACCGCCGCCGCCACCGCCGGCGACGCCGATCCATCGTGCGACGGCAGGCCCGCTTTCAATTTCAGCTGGCCGCTATCCGGTACTAACTCAGCACAAGTTGGTGAGCGCGCCGCATGGGCCGTCGTGGAGGGGTTGTGACGGAGGCGGCAGCGGCGGCAGCACGGTCAGGGACGTGGCACAAAGGTGCTTCGAGGCGGTGTAGTGGCGGTGAGAAGGTGTTGAAAGAATGGAGGCGAAATAACAGCGGAATGGAAGCGTAGGCGCCAGATAACTAAACGGTGGCGGTGGAGCTCAGGTCTAGTCACGAACGCCGTAGACAGGAGAGCCCCGCTACCATGGGTAAGCAGAACTATACTAGATTTGTTATCCACTCTTGATCCGTGTAATAACCTGAAAATGTTTCAGCAGTGCTGTGGCGCGGGTGGCGGCGGAGACTCGGCCCTGGAGGCGATGACGATAGAGTTCGCGGAGGCGGTGGTAGCAGCGGCGGTGGGTGCTCGTTCGCGATAAAGGTGACTTCTGTAGCCACCCAGCGCTGCCGGCGCTGCTGAATGGCTCTCAGTGGTCCTGAACAGCCCCTCCGAGCCACTCCGCCGCCGCTTATCGGCCCCCGAAGAACGGAACTAGCTCCCACACAGCAAAACGACAGAGGATGATCGCTGGAGGCACTCCTGATGTGGAGGCTTGAGACATGGTAAAGTGAATGGGTTATGGGTGGTTTATTTTCTGCTCTTTTTCTTATCGCAAGGCTTGCATTGAGATCATGTTTTGCACACAGAAAACGCGCGCATTAGAGCAGCGATATTAGCCACATCTGTGACAGAGAAGCACATGCATTAGTTCATAAAAAAGGAAAATCAACGCATTTTGTTATGATTTTAGAAGCAAAGTAGATTCCTTTCCCATCACGTCATAATATCCTTAGCCACTTAGAATTAAGATGACAGTCGCGAAGCCGAACTGGTTATTCCGTGTTGAGCTCTTCCCAGTGCAGCGCTCTGATTGAGTCTCCTCCCGTTTCCTGCTGCGCTGATTGTCCCGGCCCCAGCCCATTCCGATGAGGCCGCCTCAAAGAGACTGATTGGCACGGATTCCCCGGGGACCGGCAGACCAGACCCGCTCGCATTGGCCACGATCGCCTTGCTGATTGAATAGTTAGACGCCGCGTACCTACTTTGTTCTGTTATTAATACATCCGTGTCACTTCACAACAGTAGATAATTTGATTTACATGTAAACATCTCTACTGACCTCGGAGAAAAACCATCGGATGATTTAAGAGAGGGAGATATACCGTGAGATGAGGATGAATCAAGAGTAAACGCCGTTTCTATCGTGATGGATGACGAATAGGTGAAAAGAGAGAGAGAGAAAGAGAGAGAGAGAGAGAGAGAGAGAGAGAGAGAGAGAGAGAGAGAGAGAGAGAGAGAGAGAGAGAGAGAGAGAGAGAGAGAGAGAGAGAGAGAGAGAGAAAAAAAAAACAATGGAAAAAGGAGGAAAACTGGAGAGAGAAAGCAAAAACGAAATGAGAGGCCTCAGTTTAATTAAACGATCTGTGAACAACATCTGTAGAAGTTTAGCCTCCGACCACAAGTTAAATTGAGTTTGGAAATATCAAGCACGAGCTAAGTCAAACCACATAACGAGATAAAGTTGGCCAACTCAAGGGCTCTATTCGTTTAACGCTAATGACATGCTTATTGCCTAAGTGAGCTACTCATTCGCAAATTATGAGTTTCGACTGCTTGGATGTCTGCTTGGTTATTTAGGATCCATGCCTCAGAATTTCTTAGCACATTTTGCCTGGCCAACGCAGTGAACAAGTGTCCAAAGTTGGATAATAACAAAGAGACACATATTCACACTGCAGAGGTTTGCTATATCATTAGTCGTCCTGTTTTTACTTAAAACTTAGTCTCAAAGCAATAAGCTATACTCTAGGCCCGAGGATGATCCCGTCGTTGATCTAAGCTCATCCTCCGCCCGGTGTCCCAGTGACGAACAAATTGTCCCGACCGGCCGGCAGCGCGTGGCGGCCTCGTAAATTGGACGGGAATCCCTCGATTTCACGGTAATTCGCCTCGGCCCGATCCATCATTTAGCCGTCTCATTTTGTTACAGAGACGTTCTGCTTAGCCGGGCTGTTGTAGCATCCATTCGCTCCGCTTCTGTCAAAGGCAGACGGTTGACAAAGCCTTCCTCCGAGGTCGGATTAGGCGTGTTGCTGTTTTCAGCCAGTCAGTGGGCAGCGTCATCACTGTCGAGGCGGATTACTGCGGCCGGCCATGTCATCCTGTCAGCGCCGCCAAAGCCGGCCGCCAGCAATTCGTATAATGGCTTCGTCAGGCACCCCGCGCCGACAGAAAACATATATCTCAAGTTTAGTAACACATTTAGCTTGAGCGCGCGCCGGCGCGATGTCGGATCAATCTTCTTCAGAAAAAGTCGACCGCGTCGGAACGACCGAAACAAATCATCGAGACGCGTCTCGCCGAGATACTGCCGCGATAGGGCCCACCATCGGCAGCTCCGGCGGCCCGGGGGCTGGACAGATGGCGCGGGAGTATCGCTCAATGGAGCGTGACATTGAATTCGCAGATTGGCCCACCGATTGGCCGTGTGGCCCAGACGACACGGATGGTGCGCTTGGCTTCACAGTGAACTCTGACAGACAGGGGAATGACATCTATACGGTGGGATTCATGGCGGCCCGCGAATATACGGCCGACGTGCCGAATTGATCGCGCGAGACAAAGAGCGATCGCGATCAGCGGCAGCGCTGAAAACGTTCATTTCGGGTGTGCTTGAATGCAGCCGCTGGGCGAGTGTTATCGTTATAAACAGAGAGCAAGTGCTCTTGGTCCAGGCAATGTCGCTTTGATTATAATGCTGCAGAAGGTTTACGTTGAGAAATATAATCTGCATGCATTTAGCAAAACGTTATGGATCTGCTGCTGAGCCTATTTTCTGCTGCATTTGACAAGCAACACACAATTATCATATGTTAAAAATAAAAATGCAGTGGACATCAGGACCACAAAGTAATAAAGGTGAAATGTTGCTTCGCTTTAATTGAAAACGTTTCATTAATAATATGGCAGTTGCGAAACTTATTCTGGGAACGTTTTTATGTAGAGTAACAATACTTCGAAAGACTCTTCTGTTCTCAGCATGGCCATGAAATAGCTGGCAAGACAAAGGCATTTTCAGTCCGTATAGGTATCACATCAGAAACCACTCTGAAAAGCAAAATGATTAAATGAATGGGACTTTAAGTGGTCACGTGCAAGTTCATTCTCAGTGAAGTCGACATTTAAGTGCAGGCAGCTGCATATATTCAAAATGTCTTACAGGATAAATTGGTTATGAAGTTTGGGAGAAATATGTTATTTTTGGGATAAATGAACAAGAAGCTGCAATATGTTAAAAGTTTTGAAATGTTTCCTTTCAGCAGATTATTCCATTCTTTAACTGTTAAGAAGGTTAGAATACCTGTGAACAATCTATAAATCTCCGTGGTCATGCAAATGCAAAACACTCCCTTGAAGTGCTATGAAACGATTGCCTCTTAAAATTTATAAGCAAGCTTCAGAGCAAACATGCTTGTAAATAGTTTACACCCATCGATATTTGGCATATCGAAAAAGGTATTTTCCTCTTCAGTTTGATCATCATATTTCAAAGTAAACATCAAGTTGGACTTACCATTTCTGTTCTCTGTATCGGCCGGCTTCATTTGTATGGGATGATGCATCTGAAATGAGAATAAAACGTTAGAGACGCATCAGAAGCATATCCTTAACATCAATAAGCATTAACATTCTCACCGTCAGTTCACAATTTTCTCCACCGTCTCGTTAGTTGCCAGCCGACCGCCAGTTAGCGAGCAGCCGAGGCGGGCGGCGGGAAGGTAGGCTGTGCCGCCGAGCACGCGAGCATTGCGGCACAGTGGAGAGCTCAGGCTGCCCGACCAGACCTCGGCAAACGGTGGCTTTGCTCCGGTTTGCACAGCCGCAGTTTTTCATTTGTTCTTGAACTTCAATGTAAACATTTGAGGAATATATAATGATTTTTGAATTATGATATCAATTTCACATTTTGTTTCATTTCAATCTTCGATTTATGTAAGAAAAAATGGGGTTCAGTAGAGCCAGTGCCCAAGCACCACAGTACACACCTGACGCTTATTATGGCCATTCACGCTTTATGGACTTCATATCATGTAGAATTTATCATTCATATCATACCTGGAATTCAAAATTCGAAAATGTTTAAATATTAGATACTACAGTCTACAACTAATGCTTTATTAATTTTGCAAACTTTGTCATAAGATATTGTATATTTATTTAATAATTACATTCACTCTCATTCCCCGGTGAATAGTCAACGCTTATCAATCGGCTTTGTGTGCGGTGTGGTGGCACCACCAAGGCACCGTCTGCCCCTCTGTCTCTCGCTCTGTCACTGTCGACGACCGTCACAGGGCGCTCCTTTCAGAGCGTGTCTCAATTAGCGACCTTCTTTGTCTCGTGTGTGTATGTGTGTGAGCCCGGCCGTGTGCCGGTGTGTTCGCAGGTCGATTCGCGGTGGAGAATAATTAATTGGCGGTATTCAGGAGAAAGGCGGAGCTTCTGTTCACTATACACCGGAGTGGGTCGTCAGCTGCACTGCTGAGCTCTACGCCAGCAGGGAAAACAATGGTCGTTGCCTTGGTCGGTAGCACCCCCCCCCCTCCTCATTCGCTGGGGATGGCTGCACGTGCCTAAGGTGGATACGGATTAAACATGAAGGCACTAGGCTGATGTGCTTGCGCCAGGATACCAAGGAAGTGGGATTTAAGACGTGTTTGATGATCTACCTAAGCACGGTAATCAGCTTTAACATCAGAACGTTCAAAACTCGCCAGTTCTTGGAAAGTTACACCGTGCAAAAGCACGCATTTAAAGAAAGTATTACTTCATCCTTAAAAACATTTTTTTTAACGAGGTATGTGTCGCAAAAAACATTAAATCATTGCATCAATTTGTGACAAATACCTTCACTGATGTGTTATAAGTTTTTTATTATAAATATATGAATGAAACGCGACTAAAATATGCTGCAGATGCTTTAAGAAACATTAATCCATTTACCTTCATTTACAGGTGAGAAATATTAATGCGAAGCTTTCTATAGAACAAAAAAAAAATATCTACATTCTACAGGGCAAACAAAAGTTTTAACATTTAGCGGAAAATAAAAGAAACCAACACTACTAGTTAATTCAGATTCAGTCACGAGTTACTCACCCCAGGCAAAGTTTTGATGTTGTGAAGCTCATTCTGAGCATCTAGAGCAGCCCTTCTCGTGAAAAACGTCACGAAGCAGCAGCCTGAAATAAAACAAAAACGATGCGGTTAGTTGACGATGGATACATTAATGCCCAAAAATAACGTACTAACTCGACACTCCGTCTGTCGGTCACCACCACTGAAATACACCTTCGAGCTTCCAGCACGGCGATTTGTAACGCAGAAAAAATTGCAATGAGGTAGCGAGCTAATGGGCATTGGGCAATCAGGTGAACAGCTCACGAAAACCAATAAATGCATCACACTTTGCAAACAATTAAGTAAATGTTCGCCTCATTATTCATATCGGTGACCTTGATTATATGTGATTTCATGAGACTATAACTGTCCTTTTCCTAGCAACCCTTTCGAACACGTGTCATTGCTGAACATTAATGCCGCATAATTTGTCCGTGCAGAATTAACAGCCGCCAAATAAACAACGCGTAACGGGCCGTTATCAGGGCAGCCAAATTGGCTTCGGTATCGCCGGCACCCAGCCGACAGGCTGCGGCCAGCCATTAGTGTAACAGGGCAGCGGAGGCACCGTGGTGGCTGCATTATTTACGTCCCACTCCTACCCTCGCGACCGATCACCCCCCCCCCCCCCACCGCCGCGAGCCGTACGGCATTATTGGCCTCGGAGGAAACGATGCGACCGTCCGAGGTATTACCGATATTGCCGTGGCTTTTAATCGCCGGGTGCGGCGGGGGGTGGCCGCGGCGGCGATTGTAACCGATTGCCCCCAGGGAGTCGGGGAAGGGTTGTGTGGTGTGAATGGGTTGGAAGGGACAGACGCCGAGGGCGCGTGAGTCATGGAAACGGGGAATGGGTAACAGGTTTGTGGAGAGCGAGATGGAACGCAGGAGGCCTATGTAGAGAAGAAATCTGATGAAATAGATTTGTGCAAGCAGAAATATTTACAAAAGGTCAATTTTGTGAGAAATTCTACAATGATAGCATACACTTCTTTATTTCGCTAAGTTCTATCGTCAAAAACGTGCCATTGGTGACAGACCTTCGAGACAAAGTGGCAATGAACCATAATATAGGTAACTCAACAAACCATCGCAAAACGTTCTCCGTCCGACCCTAGGACGCGCCCTGAAGCAGCTGCCTCTCGCCCTCCCCTGACCCGTATGACCGTTCTCCCACGCCCCCCCCCCCCCACACCCTCCCCCGGCGGGTGCCCGTCGCAGCTCCCCGATCGGCGCTACATGGTAACGTATGGCCCTGCGTTCGACCGGGCCAGGCACCGCTTAGTCGATGGCCCTTTGTGCCGACGGGAGTCGCTGCAAGACGCTCCGGGACGCTGCGTCCGGGCCGGACAGGGGTGCTCGTGGCACTCCTCCCGACACTCTGCCTCCCCTGCCCGCCCCTTTGTCCCGCCAGGCCTGTCACCTCGTGGGGAGGAGGGGGCGGGGGAGGGGTCGTTCACAGGTGCCCCGCGCTGCCGCCTGCTGCGACCATCGATTGAGTCGATATATCGATTTAATAGCGGTGAGACCTGCAATAAAGAATGTGTGTAGTGGTTTGGGAATGGTTGCATGATGTCCAAGGTGCAATAACTTCGGTGAGCGTTGGCAGGCTACACAGGAATTCGATGAGCGAGCATGGTACTGGCCGTATTGGTTTTGAAATGGCCGAACAAAAGCCGTTGGTGGAAGTGGCGTTTCCACATGATGGGGGCCTCGTTGATGTGGTGATTGAAATTCAATAATGATATGGCTGAAGTTTGTGCAGCTGATTCAATTGTTTTCGGGCATCAGAGTGCCTCATGCTGATAGGATGCGCTCGTGCTGATGCCTGTCTTTCGTGAGCTCCGGTGATTTGCGTGTGCGCAGTTTGCGTGAGTGCTTGTACTTTTTGTTGGGATGCGTGTGCGCATGTGTGGACATCGCAAGCGGTGCTAATCGTGGCTCTTCAGCGGTTAGCCTCTGTTTTACGCTTTCTCGGTTGGCGTGGAGAAGAGGAAAGAGAAAATAATAATGGTATACCATCCCGTTTTCCAGATGTTCATAAATCTCAACTTATCATTTATCAACCATCGCTTTGAGCATCAGCTCACCGAATACTTCCACCATATGTGTTTCATAAGTTATCATTTTCAATCATTCTTTCAATACCTCCAGACATCATTCAACACCCAATACCTTCCCCACAAATATCTACATAGTCTAGTCACCTTAGCTGCGAAGACGATAAGGAATATAAAAAAGGAAGGTGAACAACCATCACATGAACATCCATCACATGTACATACCTTCCTCACTTGAGATGTGGGGGGGGGGGAAGAGAGCTAACCTAACTCAGATGATAATACATATGGATTACCATCCGAGTTAGATCTCTTCTACCCCTCCCCGCATCTCCTGACGTGACTCAAGTCTCGGCAGGACCGTGTCGAATCCGTCCCGTTACCCGAGCGGGTAACGGCAGTTAGCCGGTGGAGGGCGCAACAGAGCACCAATCGGCCGGGCCGGTCCGACCCCCGCGAGACCGGGCGGCGGCACTTTCATTAGAACAAAAGGAACGAGCGGCGCGGCCCGGCTGCGAGACTGCCGAATACAGATAGGGCCGCCGTCGGGCCTCATCGCCTCGCCGCGGCTGTCATTGCCTGTCCGCGCCCGCTTCAGCCCAGGGTCGTATACGACGCGACGGCGACGACGACGACGCGACGGCGCGACGGCTGCGACGACTGCTGATCAGAGAAGCCCGCTGCAGAGGCACGTGTCAGTCTAAGGTGAGCCGGAATGCTCGGCCGACGAGCCGACACGGCAGCGTGGCTTTACAGGTTGATGTCAAGGTCAGTACCTAGTTGTGAAAAGATGAAGGATGACCTTTATCATATAAAAAATATGTCAACTCATACTTTCTAGCTCTATCAAGATAGCTGTCACTTGTTCAGCTTCGGCATTTAATTTTGATTTGGGAACTCCTTACAAGTTCTCGTCCCAAAGCATGCTATTCACAGCAGTTTTAGATTAAGGCGCAATCAGTGACACATCAGTGGCATTTGTGTTTTCTTTGAAATTCATTCGATTGGAAACACAGAAATGTCTATAAATTACCCAGTCCTGCTGTATCAGCCCAAAGCAGCAATTTCAGAAGCCGCCTCTACATCCAGTCCGTGCTGCATCAGCCTATTCCCGCAGTTTCAGACCCCACCCCTCCACCCAGTTAGGTATACCAAATCCGTTACACCAAATCCGCTCTACCACCGCAATGTCAGCGTTCCTCCCGACCGCTCCCCATGCCGGTTTGAGCCGCGGCTCTCCCAGGTGTCTGTCGGTAATGGAGGGCCGCTCAGCCGGTCTCTCCTGGCGCTGATGTGGATTGATAGCTCTATCATCGGCCGCCACTGAGGTCAGGTCGGCCGGCCGAGCCGCCGGAGACCGCTCCTCCGACCGCCAGTCCACCGCTCAATCGGATCGTCCACCCAACCAAAACGGATTGGAAGCGGCTGCAGGCCGGCCGCAATGACCCCGCAGAGGTGTATGTGCCGCCAGAGCCGCGTCCAGACAGATACAAATTACATGGATGGTCGGAACGGAAACAGCTGATTGAGCCAGCCAGCGGAGGCTTAGAGGACCCCCGGGACTGTTGGGGAATTGAAAAAGAAATAGGGTCAATTAATTTATTTGATATTCTTAGAAAAATAATGTTCCTCCTATGATCACTAGCCAGCTCAGCTACACCCGTGGCCGTGCATCTTATTTCCTCTACAGGTTTGCCTTTTACCTAACACATTCCATGCCTCTATTTATGACCTCGCCATGCCCTCGCCCCGACTGACCTTTACTCTGCCCGGTGATTTTGTCGCGCAGTACGTTGATCTGGTGGACGGGACCGAACTCCTCAAACATACTCCGGATGTCGTTCTCGTCCATATGGCGGGGCATCTGTCCGACGAACATTTTGATGGCGTCTGGGTCGGGGTGGTCGCGGGCCGTGACCTCAGGTATCCTGCTGTGACCCAGGCCCACCGAGCCGGTCCTGCAAACACGGACCGTGACGTCAGCGGTGTGGAGGGGAGGGAGGGGGTGTGTTGACAAACGGAAACGGGCTGTGTGGTGGGGTGTGACACTCACGGTGTGTTTAGCGAAGTGTTGTCCAGTGGTGTGTGTGACCTGCCATTACAAAATGAAAGGTAGCTATACGTTTTATTTCAAATACTGAATGCAACTCTTCATAAAGTTCGATGGAAACAATTGCAAAATTACCCACCCATATTTGCTCCCAACCTGGTTTATGATCTTGAAATGTACACATTATCGCGTACGTCCTACATATGAGCAACTTTTCATCTAGAATCATCGTCTACGACATGTCAAGTCAGCTACAATGGTCTATCTGACAACCAAAAGAGGAGATGTGTCACTCAACAATTGTCCACGACCGTATTCCGACTGCATTGGATTTCAACATTACTGGATGTGACTGGGCGGATGTGCGCCCAGCTGCTCGACATATTTCAGGTCAGTTCACTTCAGTTAATTTCCAGTTAATCCCAAAATTGGAATGCCTTCCTGGAACGCTGTAGAAAACAAAGACAAGGATTCACTCGTAAGTCCACATCCCGGCTCCAGCTAGATCCGCGACAATATCGCGTTTCAACATTTCGAAGAACCATCGCTGGACCTTGGTCAATTTCAGCTCCGTCGTCTCTCGTTTTTGTTTCCTCAAAACTACAACGCCCACTCATAAAATAAATGTCCGACCGAATCCGTCGCGGCGACCGCAAAGCCTCTCTGACCGTCGGTCCCCAGTGTCCGCGGCCGAATCAATTTCACTCATCCCTATTTCGATGCCTGCAGAGTCGGCGGGTGTGGGTTTCGCTCAGTTATTCCCCTCCCTTTCGTCCCGTCCGTCTGAGCCGTTTGGGCCGGCTGGGTTTGTTATGTGGTGGTGAGCGGCTCCCCGTAAACATCCAACCGACAGTGGTGAGACGTCCGAAGTCGAACCGCTTACGGAGCCGACGATAGAGCCACGAGAGGTCTTACATAGAGACGTCGTGTAGTCAGACCTTAGCTGTTATAGCTTAACTTTTCCATCTGGTTGCCTGATTCTTTGAGCTAATTGGGATTACTCACTGGCGTTGTTTGACCACAAACTTTTGCTTTTATTCATTTGTTGCAATCGTAAAGCCTTTACTAAAGAGAAAGGCCGAGCTAATCGTACCGACATTGTGACGTCTACCTTGGCGACGGCACTCTACGGCACTCTGCGGCACTCTGCGGCACTCTACGGCAAAACGCCAAACGCTGGGCGCCGTAAAACAACGTGAAGCTCCTCACCGTGCCATACCGTGTCGCAGCTGACAGAGAGCCGTCGTCGCTCGTTTCTGTCATTCCGTCACCGTTGTCTTCAGCAACTGGCAGTCTGACAGGCGCCAACGACAGCGAGGGCCCTCAACAGCGTCCAACACACCTGTGCCCGGGTCTACTACCTTTGCCACGCTTCACTTATCTCAACTTCACGCCTCTCGCCTTCTTTTGATGCGACTTGCAGGGACTCGACTAGCGCTATTTCGCTCACAACCAGCAGCAAGACGACTTCGAACAACCACCGCGCCAGACTGTTTCGACGGCTCATCTGGACCTAAACGGCCTCCTCAGCCCATCTGGGCGCCTTTCTAGCGTGTAATCATAAGCCTTATGTGCGTGGACGTGATATGTGGAGCAGTTCTAGAGCGCTTGGTGGTAAGATAGACTATGGGACGGGTGGCTAATTTCGTAAAAGGGGAAAAGAAGAGAGAAAGAAAAACGTTGGTGGTATAAATAACTTGTTCACTGCATTTATGTTTAGAGAAGGCTCCTAAAAGCGTTTAAAAAGCGTACCATAAGCATTGTTTTTATCCCGAAAAGAAAGTTGTCCAAGTCATCTATTCATAAGCTCCTAAAATGCAAACAGGACCTCAAACGTCCATTTTCTCCATCAATAAATTTCTTGTACGATCCAGCCAATGTTTGTCGATCGTAATGTATGTTAATGAACAATAAAAAGTCTGCGACCGGCAATGCCTCATCTCATTCAAAGCTCAAAACGGTTCCCTGGCTATGCTTCACTCCCCCCTCCCCCACCAATGGTTTTGACCACGCCATCCACTTTCGCACTCAACATACATACAGCTCAACTTTTTCCGTGCGTCGCTACCGCTATGGATTTGCGAAGCCTGCCTGGGAACCCTGGCCGGCCGGCCCATGATAAATATCGCACAGTCACGATTTTATGGTCGTAACAGGAATCAGTATCGACCTTCCGAGTTATCATGTCGAGATAACATTGGAAATAGCACATCACAGAGCGATAGGGAATGTGATGCGCAATGTTGACTCAATGATGCTATGCATTCTCTCAGCGATGTTTATTCTCGATTAGGGGCCCGCAGCCGTTTGGCTATGCCTACATAGATCGCCAATAAAATGCAAAGTTGTTCACCGTAATGCTGTGTGGACATTGGATACTTATGACTGAGGTGTATGAGGTGTGACTGTTACACAAATGGACTCACAGTCTCTGTGACATATGCATAAATATCTACTAATACATTAGGGTATATCAGGGCGATATATGTATGTATGAAGGTGTGTCAAAAACGCTCCAGGTATCCATAAAAGTCAGTTCTTTTTCGGTCGTGTCCCTCTTCCACACGGTGGTGCTGACACTTGCAGCTTATCCATTATGCAGACTGGATTGCAGCGCGAACACACGCCACGTCGCGTGTTACCTTCCCTCGCAGGGAGATCGCGAATCAGATAAAACCCATTAGGCGCCACCGGGAATGAACCGCAATTCACGAATGAGGGAAACGCTGTACTCATTTAATTGGAACAGTCTATGGGGACAGTTTTTCGCAATGTGTTGTTATATGTAGTGTTTCACGCACGGATGGAATGATTATTTAGTACGGAGCTGGCGGAACGAATGACGACACCAGTGTGACGACCAACAACTATTTGACACTTTGGATGGACGAGGGAGGACAGTTTTATTTCTTTTAAGAAATTCCTGCGATGCTGACATGTCATCACACAGACCACAAATATCCTGCCTGTAGTAGCCGCCAGGCACTAGACCTGATAACTCATAGCAGGCGGCACTTCCAATACAATTTACACAAAACAAAAATAACGGTGTCTTAGCCCTAGCAGTTACAAACAGCACACCATCAATTCTCGCCACTAACAGGCCACAGCCAACTGAATCTGTCTCGCCCATCAAGGACGTCGTCTCCGGTCTCGTGTCTGAGGCAGCGACCGGCCGCCCGGGTCAAATTAGCCCAGAGCAAACAGCTCAGCTTCGAATGTTTCCGGCCTAGTTTCGATGTCTGCCGCTAGGCCGGCTGTTGAGCACCAGCCACCGTTTTCCGTTTGGGAAGCTCGAACGGTGCTTGGTACGAGACCGAGCCACCCTGCGTCAAGATATCCCAAGGCAATTTTCTGATCGTTGATAGCGCGTATCGGCCATTTGATGCTGCGGGACAGACAACAAAAATAATGGCTCGAGGGTGGAAATAAGGGGAAATGCTAAGTAGCCTTGAAGCTCGCGATTCATATCTTTTGATTTTGAAAGAAAGTATCGTATATTCTCCAAATACCCACGTCTTTATCTATAAAGTTCCACGTAAGCACAGAAGCAACAAAGGTGGAAATAAAGGACGGATATCACAAATATTTAGCCGACTTTTTTCCTCCATCTCCCAGTCCGCATCCTTCTTCCACCCCAGAGCGGCGGGATGCCACTCGTCTACGTAAACAGCGCTGCCAATCCCGACAGGGGCCAGATATAATGCAGGCGAGCCATCCATCAAAGCCGCATCAGTATGCATCGGGTGGCGCGGGCAGCCGCTGGATCGCCGAGGGGAGGGATCTGAGGCGAGTCCTTTCTCCGTCCGGTGCCCCGAGGGCAGTGGGGGCAGCTGGGGGAACCGGGTCACAGCTAGAGGTCCGACGGGAGGAAAGGGAAAGAGATTAGAGAATGATGAGGACGGAAGGCGCGTTCCTTATGTCAATGATGTTCGTCTACCTGGCGAGGCAACCATTTAAACATCTCCTAACTTACCTGAGACTTAACTATTTCGCCACAGCAAGGAACAACACGGAATAATAGATGAAACAGAAAGCTTGTTGAGGAGCTGAAACGCAATGTCCGCTAAAGACAAATAGGAAGCAAGAAAAGGCTGTTATTAAAGCGACTTGCCGTTCTTTGAACGTATTCAGCGCCCCCCCCCCCCCCATGCATTACATACGGGTCTCTCTAAGTTGCGATGGGCTGAAGGTCGGGGCTGCAAGGCTCTGGACCTCGAGTGTCGGACCGGGAAGAGCCGGACCGCAGAGCATCGGACCGCGAGGGATCAGTCCGGACCCCCTGTGCCGTCCGCCGGTGAAGCGGGGGGAGGGGGGCTGTGCGGCCCGGGCGCGCCGGTCGATTTTCTGAGGGGCACGGGCCTGCCGTAATGAGCGGACTAATGAACGGCCGGAGGAGGCAACGCTCCACCGGCGCGCTTCAGAGAGCCGACCCACGCTCACAAAGAGCCGCTTAAGTGCAGAGTGAAAAGGTTTTTGCCCAGCGGGCATTGCGAACGAAAATAGAGAAGTGGGTAGCACAAGTTTTTTAATAGTAATGGTGTGTTTAGGAATAAGTCTGATGCGAAATACGAAAGGCGTTATGTAACATATGTAATCAACGGACTGCTTGGCCCATTCCACGATTGCTTTAAGTCATTGAAACAGCAAAGGAGGCACGGACTGATTGCCAATCTGATTGAAATGAAAAGTCCTTGTACCTTGTAGTCAGTAGACATTTATGAATGGAAAGGCGTTGTAGAACATTCATGCCTAAAATCTTGCCGTGGTATTAACTGTGACACAATCTGACACCAGTCACCATGGGAACAGTCGTCCCGATGATCACAAAATTGGTGGTGCCGAGACACTTCAGATGTGAGATAGAGGGGAGGAAACAGCCGTCTTAGAAGTGCATGCCTATAAAGA